GTACTGGGGATGGAACGCAGGACCTTGTAAGTTTTGTTTTGTTTTTTGAGGCAGGGTCTCCCTTAGTAGGCTGGCTCTGAACTCAATGTGTAGCCCAGGCTGGCCTTGAACTCTTGGCAATCCCCCTGCCTCAGCCTCCCAAGTGCTGGGATCTTAGGCCTACACCGCCACACCTGGCAACAAAAACTTGTGACATTTCAATAAACAAATACACTGGGTAACTGAGAGTGGTGACACACATCTCTACTCCCAGTGCTTGGGAGGATGAGGCAGGCGAATCAGAGTTCAAGGCTACCCTGAACTACATAGACCCTGTCTCAAACAAAACATTAAAAATAACAGTGTCATGACCAGGTCGGAGTACCTGGTGTATTTGTCACATAGATACTTATTTCTCATTGTTAGGGACATTAAACCCCCTCTTCCGGCTGTTTGGAAGTGCTGGATGCTTGTCCACCCTTAGCCCCAGCCTCTGTACTGTCCTAATGCACAGTGAGCCTCCGCAGCCCAGGGTCTGGGCCCGTGTCGCTCTCCGCTGTGTCTCTAGGCCTGGTGTCCACAAAGCCCGTGGCAGCCTCTGTCCAGCATGGACCTCTCACCGTTGTCATTAGACGGATTCTCGTGCATCCATTCTTGCATTTCGCCCTCCCACCTGAGCGGCAGGTAGCGTCCCCCTCCCCGTACAGACAAGGACACCAACGAGGTGAGTTCACGGATCCAGCTCTGGCCTCATCCTCCAGCTCCATACCCTGTGAGCGCTTTCTCTTGAAACTTTTACATCCTGTTCTTGGGTGGAGGTCCTCAGAAAGAAGCCCAGCTTAGAAAGGTTTTGATGCTCAGATTTAGCAAGGCTACGGAAAACATAGGTTGAATTGTTGGATCAATGTAACCTCCACTGTGGGTCCTGAGAACAGAACTCTGCTTCAGGAAGTTCCCGCTGTGGAGCTTGTGTCACCGAGGGACAGACTCGGGCGTCCCGGTGACACCGATCAGGTTTCTTCATCTGCGTTCTTTCACCTTCATTTGCAGCCGGCTCTTTTTTGGCCCAACACTTGCGGTCTGCTCCCTTTCCCAGCCCTGTCTTTCCCTTACGTTAGTGCTGCATAGCAGCAGGTTTATGTTCCTTCCCTCTGTAAAAGCTGAGAATCCATCTCCTATAGTGAAAGCAAGTGCAGGGGAACAGTTTAAGGCTGTCACATTGCCCCAGACGGTGAGGGACGTGGCTGCTGTGGGAAGACTTGGGAGGGTCAGTCCCGCCAGCAGACCCCACTCCCGCTACTGTTCCGGTCTTGTGCAGCCGAGGTCTTAGGGGGGCCCAGACCCGTCCAGGAGAGGCTTGTGTTCGGGGTGGGTCCCGGTGGGGTCCGAGAGGTGCGCACCTCTGAACTGACAGGATGGGCTCCCTGGGCCTCGGCGGGCCATCGGGGCTGTGCAGCTTACGCTGACCCCTGAGGGACAGACGGTGCTGTGGGCAAAGCCCCCAGTGAAAACTCTGGACCTGGAGTCCCCACTGGGGTGTGCACATTGTCACAGCTCCTTGCTGGGGGAAATTATGCAAGTCCCAAGGGACCCCCAGAGGGGACCCTGGAGCTCCCTGGACTCTGCCCCTGTGCCTTGTCCCGTGCTGATTGAGACCCCCAGCTGAGATTGGTGTCAGCCCTGCGTGCCTCTGGGCCAAGCCATGAGCATCCTCCGGGCCCTGGTGTGTGTGTGTGTCTGTGTGAGCAGATGTGTATTTCGGTTTTTGCAGTGCTGATGGTTGAACCCAGGGCCTCATACACACCAGGCAAGTGCTCAAGGGCTGAGCCCCACCCCCACGCCTGCCTGTATTGTAATGAGATGGTTATTGCGTCTAATGCTTCTGAGATCTTATTTTTACTTATTGACTTATTTTTTAAGATCTCTTTTATTTAACAAACGTAAGTGGTTTTTGACATGGTGGAGCATGCTTGAGCTCAGAATCTGTATTGTCACGCAAGATGGTGACAGTCCGTGAGTGTGAAACTCTTTGGGTCTCAACTCTTTCCTGAGGAGCGGGAGGAATAGGGATGTTTGCACAGGCAGCTCATTCCTCGGAGAGGCAGCCTGCATGTTCCTCATGACCCACATACATGTGTTCTCATCTCTGAGTCCACACCCATCGGTTTAGTTTCTTTGCTTGTCGCCTGGACAAAATACCCAACATCCAAAGTTAAAGGAAGACAGATTTACTTTGGCTCCCAGTCTGTAGAGGTTTCAGTCCGTAGCCAGCTGGCTCTAAGGCGGGGTGGCCTGGCAGAGGGGCATCGAGGAGGAGAAACCGTCCATGACAGGGGAGGTAGGAGGCAGCAAAGCAGAGAGACAGCAAAGCAAACAGCAGCAGCAAGCGTTGGCGGCGGCCGTCTTTCTGTCCCTTTGTGTCCCGTCCAGCGAACTTGCCCGTAGGGCAGGTAGCACTCACACCGGGGGTGGGCACCCCTAATCCTAGGGTCACACCTTGAGTCAGTCCCAGCAGCGCACACCCTAGATCCTGCTGCCTCCAAAAAGCCCCACCAAGATGGCGTATGAGGCTCAGGGGGGATAAGCCATAACACCCATCATTATTTAAAAGTTATTTGTCAATTTGTTGGATAATAAATGGTTTTACTTTTTCATTTGCATGTTTGAACATTAGTGAAGCTAAATGTTCCCTGGTGACTGGGCTGTTCTTGTGTTTTAGGTTGAGAATAATGGGAATTCTTTTCACCTTTTGCTCAGCCCGTTATTATGGGCTGGGCTGGCAATCACTAGGGGTGCAGTTTCCATTGTGCCTGCCAGAG